AGCAATATCATACAATGGAAGAGTGATTTCCAAAGAGGATGTCTAAGGCAGTAGCTAGATGAATAAAGATAATTTGGCTTTCAGTCAGTTCCCAAGGAAGGACCGTTGTTCATCTTGAAAGATTTTTACTTAAAAAATTTGGAAAACACTGTAATAAGCCATCAGTACAAAATGTGAAAGATTGAGGACAGACCAAGAACACTGAAGACATTAATAAAGAAACAGTAGAGAGAAATGACAGAATTACAAGTAATAGTCAGTCTAAACTGCTCACACAACACGATTATAAAATCAGACCTGCTAGTCATCTGGGTTGCCATATATGATCAGCAGCTTGGAAAACCAGAGCAGGCCCATCTTTTGCAATTAAGAATATATGGGTTTCCTACGGGTTTTTGTTTTAAAGTCAAGATTTCCTTGAACAAAAATGCAGTTATTTAAATGTTCTCAAAGAAAAAGTGATTTAGAGCTGTGAATGTTCATGTCATCAGCCTGTCAGTAACTCACTGACCTGGGATACTAGACTGGTTTGCCAAAATACGTATGTACGTATGTGTGCATGTGCAGAAAAAATACTAGGAAAAGAGAAAGTAATTCTCCACTTTTCATTATTTCTATAAAACATAGACCCCTTCAGTATTTTTACATGAATGTGTTGTAACTGGCTGCAACTTGCAAACTGCAGGGGTCTCTCTCCTCCGTGGCCCAGTGCTCACCAGAGACATGAGGTGTAAGCCAGTACACAGCCGAGTGGTTGTAAAAACTGCCAATTTCATCAGGCTTTGCTTCAGCCCCAGAAAAGAATAGGAGCCTGAGAAATACAAGGTAGAAACAGCAGGCTGAAAACCCCTAAATTCTGAGAGATTTATTTTATCCTTTAGCATTTTGTGACTGAAAACCTGCGGAGTAAAGGTGAGTTTGTATGACTAGAATGGTATATAGGGATCTCCATGGGTGAAACTTTGTGTCCCACAAGCAACCAGGGTTTTCACAAAGAGTCCGTTCACAGGCAAAGTGTCAAACATGTTAAACTGATTTTCTACAAAAGG